GGTGTGTGTGCGGTGTGTGCGCGGTGTGTGTGCGGTGTGTGTGCGGTGTGTGCGCGGTGTGTGTGCGGTGTGTGTGCGGTGTGTGCGGTGTGTGCGGTGTGTGTGCGGTGTGTGCGGTGTGTGTGCGGTGTGTGTGCGGTGTGTGTGCGGTGTGTGCGGTGTGTGCGGTGGTGCGGTGTGTGTGCGGGGTGTGTGGCGGGTGGGCGCGGTGTGGGTGCGTGTGTGTGTGGCGGTGGGGTGGTGCGGTGTGTGTGGGCGGTGTAGGTGCGGTGTGTGTGCGGTTGATGTGCGCGGTGTGTCGTGCGGTGGATGGTGAGCGGTGATGTGCGGTGATGTGGCGGTGGTGCGGTGTGTGTGCGGTGTGTGCGCGGTGTGTGTGCGGTGTGTGTGCCGTGTGTGCGGTGTGTGTGGGGTGTGTGCGGTGTGTGTGCGGGTGTGTGCCGGGTGGTGCGTGGGTGTGGCGGTGTGTGCGGTGTGTGTGCGGTGGGTGTGGGTCGGGGTGTGTGCGTTGTGTGTGGCGGGGTGTGTGCCGTGTGGTGCGGTGGTGGACGGTGTGTGTGCCGTGTGTGTGCCGGTGTGTGCGGTGTGTGTGCGTCTGTGCGAGTGTGTGTGTGCGTGTGTTGCGGTGGGGTGTGCAGTGTGTGGGCGGAGGTGTGTGCCGGGTGTGCCGGTGTGTGTCGCGAGGTGTGTGCCGTGGTGTGCGGGTGTGTGCGGGTGTGTTGCGGTGTGTTCGCTTTGTGTGCGCGGTGTGTGTGCGGGTGTGTTGTGCGGTGTGTGCCGGTGTGTGCGGTGTGGTGTTGGTGTGTGTGCGGTGTGTGTGCGGTGTGGTGCGGTGTGTCGGTGGGTGTGCGTGTGTGTGCGGGGTGGTGGTGCGGTGGTGTGTGGGTGGGTGTGCGGTGTGTCGCGGTGTGTCGCGGGTGCTGTGCGCGTGTGTGTGCGGTGTGTGTGCGGTGTGTGCGGTGTGGGTGCGGGGGGTGGCGGTGGTAAGGTGTGTGTGCGGGGTGTGTGAGGTGTGTGCGCGGTGTGTGCGGTGTGTGTGCAGTGTGTGTGGTGTGTGTGCGGTGTGTGTGCGGTGTGTGTGCGGTGTGTGCGGTGTGTACGGTGTGTGTGCGGTGTGTGCGGTGTGTGTGCGGTGGGTGTGCGGTGTGTGCGGTGTGTGTGTGGTGTGTGCGGTGTGTGTGCGGTGTGGGTGCGGTGTGTGTGCGGTGTGTGTGCGGTGTGTGTGTGGTGTGTGTGCGGTGTGTGCGGTGTGTGCGGTGTGTGTGTGCGGTGTGTGTGCGGTGTGTGTGCGGTGTGTGTGCGGTGTGTGCGGGGTGTGTGCGGTGTGTGCGCGGTGTGTGCGCGGTGTGTGTGCGGTGTGTGTGCGGTGGGTGCGGTGTGTGTGGTGCGGTGTGGGTGACGGTGTGTGGTGCGGTGTGTGTCGGGGTGTGTGGCGGTGTGTGCGCGGTGTGTGCGCGGTGTGTGTGCGGTGTGTGCGGTGGTGTGTGTGCGGGGTGTGTGCCGTGTGTGCGGTGTGTGCGGTGTGTGCGGTGTGTGTGCGGTGTGTGTGCGGTGTGTGCGGTGTGTGCGGTGTGTGCGGTGTGTGCGGTGTGTGTGCGGTGTGTGTGCGGTGTGTGCGGTGTGTGTGCGGTGTGTGCGGTGTGTGTGCGGTGTGTGTGCGGTGTGTGTGCGGTGTGTGTGCGGTGTGTGCGGGGTGTGTGCGGGGGTGGGGCGGGTGGTGGCGGGGTGTTGCGGGTGTGCGCAGCGTGTGTGCGCGGTGTGTGCGGTGTGTGTGCGGTGTGTGCGCGGTGTGTGCGCGGTGTGTGCGCGGTGTGTGTGCGGTGTGTGCGGTGTGTTCGGTGGGTGCGGTGTGTGTGCGGTGTGTGTGCGGTGTGTGCGGTGTGTGCGGTGTGTGTGCGGTGTGTGCGCGGTGTGTGCGCGGTGTGTGTGCGGTGTGTGCGGTGTGTGCGGTGTGTGTGCGGTGTGTGTGCGGTGTGGGTGCGGTGTGTGTGCGGTGGTGCGGTGTGTGTGCGGTGTGTGTGCGGTGTGTGCGGTGTGTGTGCGGTGTGTGTGCGGTGTGTGCGCGGTGTGCGCGGTGTGTGCGGTAGTGTGCGGTGTGGTGTGCGGGTGGGTGTGCGGTGTGTGCCGTGTTGGTGCGGTGTGTGGGGGGTGTGTGCGGGGTGTGTGGGGTGTGTGCGGTGTGTGCGGTGTGTGTGCGGTGTGTGCGGTGTGTGCGGTGTGTGCGGTGTGTGTGCGGTGTGTGTGCGGTGTGTGCGGTGTGTGCGGTGTGTGTGCGGTGTGTGTGCGGTGTGTGCGCGGTGTGTGCGGTGTGTGTGCGGGGTGTGTGCGGTGTGTGCGGTGTGTGTGCGGTGTGTGTGCGGTGTGTGTGCGGTGTGTGCGGTGTGTGTGCGGTGTGTGTGCGGTGTGTGCGGTGTGTGTGCGGTGTGTGTGGTGTGTGCGGTGTGTGTGCGGTGTGTGTGCGGTGTGCGCGAGTGGGTGTGGCGGTGTGGGGCGGTGTGTGCTGGGTGTGCGGCGGTGTGGGCGGTGTGGTGTGAGCGTGGGTGATGTGCGGTGTGTGGCGGTGGTGTGCGGTGTGTGTGCGGTGTGTGTGCGGTGTGCGCGGTGTGTGTGCGGGGGTGGGGGCGAGTGTGCGTGTGGTGGTGCGGCTGGGACGGTGTGTGTGCGCGGTGCGGTGTGCGGGTGTGTGCGGTGTGGTTGCGGTGTGTGTGCGGTGTGTGCGGTGTGTGCGGATGTGTGGCGGTGTGTGTCCGGTGTGTGTGGTGTGCGCGGTAGTGCGCGGTTGGTGGCGGTGTGTGGCGGGGTGTGTGCGGTGTGTGGGCGGGGTGGGTAGCGGTGTGTGTGCGGTGTGTGCGGTGATGTGCGGTGTGTGGCGTGTGTGGAGCGGTGGTGTGCGGTGGGTGCTGGCGTGTGTGCGGTAGTAGTGCGGTGTGTGCGGTGTTGCGGTGTGTGTGGGGGTGTGCGGTGTGTGTGCGGTGTGTGCGGTGTGTGTGCGGTGTGTGTGGTGTGCGGTGTGTGTGCGGTGTGTGCGTGTGCGGTGGGCGGTGGGTGTTGCGTTGTGTGCGGTGTGTGTGCGGTGGCGTGGGCGGCGGTGTGTGCGGTGTGTGCGGTGTGTGCGGTGTGTGTGCGGTGTGTGTGCGGTGTGTGTGCGGTGTGTGTGCGGTGTGTGCGGTGTGTGCGCGGTGTGCGCGGTGTGTGTGCGGTGTGTGTGCGGTGTGTGTGCGGTGTGTGCGGTGTGTGTGCGGTGTGTGTGCGGTGTGTGTGCGGTGTGTGTGCGGTGTGTGTGCGGTGTGTGTGCGGTGTGCGCGGTGTGTGTGCGGTGTGTGCGGTGTGCGCGGTGTGTGTGCGGTGTGTGCGGTGTGTGCGGTGTGTGCGCGGTGTGTGCGCGGTGTGCGCGGTGTGTGCGGTGTGTGCGGTGTGTGTGCGGTGTGTGTGCGGTGTGCGGTGTGTGTGCGGTGTGTGTGCGGTGTGTGTGCGGTGTGTGCGGTGTGTGTGCGGTGTGTGTGCGGTGGTGCGGTGTGTGTGCGGTGTGTGCGGTGTGTGTGCGGGGTGTGTGGTGGTGTGCGGTGTGGTGCGGTGGGTGTAGCGGCGTGGTGTGGGTGGTGCGGTGGTGTGTGCGCGGTGTGTGGCGGTGTGGTTGCGGTGTGTGACAGGTGTGTGGTGCGGGTGTGGTGTCGGTGTGGTGCGGGTGTGTGGTGAGGCGGTGTGCGGCGGTGGTGCCGTGTGTGTGCGGTGTGGTGCCTGTGTTGCGCGGTGTGTGCCGGTGGGTGGGCGGTGTGTGCGGTGTGGGCGGTGTGTGTGCGGGTGGTGCGGGGTGTGTGCGGTGTGTGTGCGGTGTGCGCGGTGTGTGGTGCGGTGGCGTGTGCGGTGTGTGTGCGGTGTGTGTGCAGTGTGTGTGCGGTGTGTGTGCGGTGTGTGCTGCGGCGGTGTGCGGTGTGTGATTGCGGTGTGTGGCGCGGTGTGGTGCCGGTGTGTGCGTGGCGGTGGTGCGGTGTGTGTGCGGTGTGTGCGGTGTGTGCGCGGTGTGTGCGGTGTGTGCGGTGTGTGCGGTGTGTGTGCGGTGTGTGTGCGGTGTGTGCGGTGTGTGTGCGGTGTGTGCGGTGTGTGTGCGGTGTGTGTGCGGTGTGTGCGGTGTGTGCGGTGTGTGCGTGTGGGGTGGTGCGGTGTGGGTGTGCGGGGTGTGCGGTGTGTGTGGCGGTGTGTGCGGTGTGTGTGCGGTGTGTGCGCGGTGTGTGCGGTGTGTGCGGTGGTGCGGTGTGTGTGCGGTGTGTGTGCGGTGTGTGTGCGGTGTGTGTGCGGTGTGTGTGCGGTGTGTGCGGTGTGTGTGCGGTGTGTGTGCGCGGTGTGTGCGGTGTGTGTGCGGTGTGTGTGCGGTGTGTGTGCGGTGTGTGTGGTGGTGTGGTGGGCGGGGTGTGTGCGGTGTGGGGCGGTGTGTGGGCGGTGTGTGCGCGGTGTGTGTGCGGTGGGTGTGCGGTGTGTGCGGTGTGTGTGCGGTGTGTGCGCGGTGTGTGCGCGGTGTGTGTGCGGTGTGTGCGGTGTGTGCGGGGTGTGTGCGGTGTGTGTGCAGTGGTTTGCGGTTGTGGTGCGGTGTGGTGGTGTTTGCGGTGTGTGGCGGTGGGCGGTGCGGTGCGGTGTGTGCGTGGGTGTGGCGGTGTGGTGCGTGTGTGCGGTGTGTGCGGTGTGTGCGGTGTGTGTGCGGTGTGTGCGGTGTGTGTGCGGTGTGTGTGCGGTGTGTGCGGTGTGTGTGCGGTGTGTGCGGTGTGTGCGGTGTGTGCGGTGTGTGTGCGGTGTGTGTGCGGTGTGTGCGGTGTGTGTGCGGTGGTGCGGTGTGTGGGCCCACACTCACAGCGCAGCCACGGCCCCCTGTTGGCCTCAGATAACCCTTTCTCTCCGGTGCCCCAACACCGGCGGCCGCGGCGCTGTTTGAAGCCCGAGCGACGCTGGCCGATTCAGTCGGGGGGTAGCACCTTTCTCCTCTCTGAACTCTGTCCCGCCTCTCACAGACGGAGCGTTCGGAAGGTGCCAGAAGGTTCCGGTGACAGATGTCTACCGCTACGAGGTGTCGCCGGTGGCCCAGCAGCGCCCGAGGGCCGCCTTGCGTCGGCTGTCCCGCGCAGGTAGGCAGGCGGTGGGGTGGGGAGCGGGGCCCCGGGTCGCTGTCCCCCGGGCCCTCAGCTAAACTCTGCTTCTCGGAACTCTAGGGCCGCGAGGAAGTGGGAAGGACTTGGTGGTGGGCGGAGCGGCTGGAGGGCCGGGGAGGTGGGGCGGAGCCGCTGGAGGGCCGGGGTGGTGGGCGGAGCGGCTGGAGGGCCGGGGAGGTGGGCGGGCGGCTGCTCACCAGGTGACCGTCCCCCCTTCCCGGAGGAAAGCAGCCCTCGGCCGCGGCGTTCAAACTGTCGTCCTGGTTTTTCACAGGGCAGCCCTGTTAGCTCTGCTCAGATACCGTAATTTGACCATTATCATGTAGGACTACTATTTACAATTCACACATGTACATGCTTTTTAAATGGAAGCATGAATGGGGTCAGTCCTGCTCCTGAGGGGAAGCCTGGTCTCCTGAAGCTTCGAGCCTGGACCAGAGGCTCAGCGTGGGGGGCTCAGGCCCACCCAGCTCAGGGGGTGTGTATGGTGGGGGGCTCAGGCCGACCCAGCTCAGGGGGTGTGTATGGGGGGGCTCAGGCTGTCCCAGCTCAGGGGGTGTGTATGGGGGGGCTCAGGATGACCCAGCTCAGGGGGTGTGTATGGGGGGGCTCAGGCCCACCCAGCTCAGGGGGTGTGTATGGTGGGAGGCTCAGGCCCACCCAGCTCAGGGAGTATGTATGGGGGGGCTCAGGCCCACCCAGTTCAGGGGGGTGTGTATGGGGGGGGCTCAGGCCTGTCCAGCTCAGGGGGTGTGGTAAGGGGGCTCAGGCCCACCCAGCTCAGGGGGTGTGTATGGGGGGGGCTCAGGATGACCCAGCTCAGGGGGTGTGTATGGTGGGGGGCTCAGGATGACCCAGCTCAGGGGGTGTGTATGGTGGGGGGGCTCAGGCCCACCCAGCTCAGCGTGAGGGGAGCAATGGGGAAGCCTCATGGGGTGGTCAGGCCTGGAGTGGGGCCTCCATGCCACTGTGGGTCCCGGGCTCCCGCGGGTGCTCAGTGAGCACTGGGCTGACCCAGCTGGTGGGTGTTAGGCTGCCGGTCCTCTGGTGTGTGTCACCCCTCCTTCTGCAGCCGTGTGCAAGGACTCATGGTCTGGCGGTGCCCACATGTGGGACAGGGCCCAGGACGCCTGCGTGCGCATGAAGGCGGGTGGTTTGGGTGCAGTTTAGATTCTGCACTGCTGCTCCTGATCTGCCTGGGGCAGTCCTTACTGTGAGCGCCCGGTGTGCCGCCCTCAGAGCCTGCTGGCACTACCCCCCTCCACAGGCACATGCACACACAAACAAGAACGCGTGGACTCACAGATGCACACACATGTACAAACACACAGGGGTGCGCCCCCTCACCTGACACTTTCCCACATGCTGTGAGCGAACCCCTCCGGTGCTGCCCGCTGTCTGCCGCGCCACCTCCCGCGTCTCCGTGCCTCTGGGGCCTGAGGCTCAGGCTGGAGGGCGCCCGCTGGAGGGCTGGGCGTCTGCTCCCCGGAGCGCGGCTCAAGGGTGCGGGTGGCGGGGAAGGGAGCGTGTCCAGAGCCCTGTGGTCACTGCGCGTGGCCCCCGTGTTCGCCCGCGGTGGCTGCGTCCTGTGTGTCCTGGCACAGCGTGGGCACCTCTCCGCACGGAGTGCTTCACCTGAGTCTGCCCGTCGGGGCAATGCGCTCACGGACGGCCGATGGCTCCTCACCATTAAGTTTTAGACACACTTCCCTTCTTCCGACAAGCAGCGACATGAGTGTCGCGCGCTGGCACGCCACTTACTTTCCTGGAAACAGTGCGATTTAGTTCCCAGCGGGAATCTCCTGACACATGGAGCTGTGCGTCCAAAGCCAGAAAGCAAAGCCGAGGAAGGTAGTGCGCGGCCGTTCCTTAAAGAGACCAGAGGGTCCCCAGGGCAGGGAGCAGGACAGGAAGCCAGTGTCGCCAGGAGGGCGTAGAGCTGGGCAGGGCCGGCCCCCGACCCCGCTGCTCTGTCTGAGCGTCTGCGGCTGCGGGTCAGTGAGGTGGCCTGGCTTCTGGATCTCCCTCCGTGGGTGGCTTCTGGCCCTTCCCGCCTGCCCCCTCCCTTCCACCTGCCCCATCCCACCTGCCCCTTCCCTTCCCACCTGCCCCCTTGCCCCACTGCCCCCTTCTCATTCCCCCACCTGCCCCTTCCCTATCCTATCCCGCCCACCTGCCCCCGTTCCCACCTGCGCTCTTCCCTTCCCACCTGCCCCTTCCCACCTGCCCCCTCCCTTCCACCTGCCCCCCCACCTGCCCCTTCTCTTCCCACCTGCCCCTCCCCACCTGCCCCTTCCCACCTATCCCTTCCCACCTATCCCTTCCCACCTGCCCCTTCCCTCCTGCCTACTTCCTACCCATCCCGTTCCCACAAGGCCCCCTTCCCAACCTGCCCCTTTTCCCTTCCCACCTGCCCCTACCCCCCATCTTGCCGCCGTCCCAACCTAACCCTTCCACCTTCCCTTTCCCTTCCCACCCTGCCCCTTCCCACCTGCCCCTTCTCACCTGCCCCTGCCCAACTGCCCTTCCGACTCCTACCTAATCCTTCCCACCTGCCCCTTTCCCACCTGCCCCTTCCCTTCCCCACTCCGCCTTCCTATCTATTCCCTTCCCAGCCATGCCCCTTCCCACCTGCTGCTTCCCTTCCAACCTGCCCCTTCCCACCCCCCACTCCTTCCCACCTGCCCCTTCCTTTCCCATCTATCCCTTCCTATCTATCCCTTCCCACCTGCCCCTTCCTATCTATCCCTTCCCACATGCCCCTTCCCTCCTGCCCCTTCCTATCTATCCCTTCCCACATGCCCCTTCCCTCCTGCCTCTTCCTATCTATCCCTTCCCACCTGCCCCTTCCCCCACCTATCCCCTTCCCACCTGCACCCTCCCTACCAATGCCCGCCCACCTGCACCTTCCCACCTATTCCCTTCCCACCTGCCCCTTCCCCAACAGCCCATTCCTAGCCCGTCCCTTCCCACCTCCCCTTCCAACCTGCCCCGCCCCCTGCCCCATCCCATCCCCACCTGCCCCTTCCCCATGCACCCCTTCCACTTGCCCCGTCCACCTCCCACCTCCCCTTCCCACCATACCCCGGCCACCTGCCCCTGTCCCTCCCACCTCCCCTTCCCACCTGCCCTTTTCCCACCTGAAACCCTTCCTATCTGGTCCCCTCCCACCTGCCCCTTCCCACCTGAACCTACCCATTCCTAGCTACCTTCCACACCTGCCCCTATCCCACATGCCCCTTCCCCACCTCACCCTTCCTTCCCACCTGCCCCTCCCACCTGCCCCTTCCCTTCCCACCTGCCCCTTCCCACCTGCCCCTTCCCTTCCCACCTGCCCCTTCCCCCCCCTTCCTCCCCTTACCACCAGCCCCTCCTTATCTATCCCTTCCCACCTGCCTTCCCACCAAGCCACCTTCCTATCTATCCCCCACCCACACCTTCCCCCATCCCTTCCCACCTGCCCCTTCCCACCTACCCTTCCCACCTTCCCCTTCCCTTCCCACCTGCCCCTTCCCACCTGCCCCTTCTCACCTGCCCCTTCCCACCTGCCCCTTCCTATCTATCCCTTCCCACCTGCACCTTCCCACCTGCCCCTTCCCACCTGACCCTTCCCTTCCCACCTGCCCCTTCCCACCTGCCCCTTCCCCTCCCACCTGCCCCTTCCTTTCCCATCTATCCCTTCCTATCTATCCCTTCCCACCTGCCCCTTCCTATCTATCCCTTCCCACATGCCCCTTCCCTCCTGCCTCTTCCTATCTATCCCTTCCCACCTGCCCCTTCCCACCTGCCCCTTCCCACCTGCCCCTTCCCTTCCCACCTGCCCCTCCCCACCTGCCCCTTCCCACCTACCCTTCCCACCTGCCCCTTCCCTTCCCACCTGCCCCTTCCCCCCTGCCCCTTCCACTTGCCACCGTCCCAACCTAACCCTGCCACCTTCCACTTGCCGCTATCCCAACCTAACCTTGCCACCTTCACACCTGCCCTTCCCACCCGGCCCCTTCCCATCTATCCTTTCCAACCTGCCCCTTCCCACCTGCCCCTTCCCTTCCTCCAACCTGCACCCTTCCCAACCTGCCCCTTCCCTTCACCAGCCCCTTGCCCACCTCCTAACTATCCCTTCCCACTGCCCCGTCCCCACCTGCCATTCCTTCATCCTTCCCCTCCCACCTTCCCTCCTTTCCCATCCCATCCCGGTCCCTATCTATCCCTTCCCACCTGCCCCTTCCTATCTATCCCTTCCCACCTGCCCCTTCCCTCCTGCCTCTTCCTATCTATCCCTTCCCACCTGCCCCTTCTCACCTTCCCCTTCCCACCTGCCCCTTCCCTTCCCACCTGCCCCTTCCCACCTGCCCCTCTCTATCTATCCCTTCCCACCTGCCACTTCCCTTCCCACCTGCTTCTTCCCACCTGCCCCTTCCTATCTATCCCTTCCCACCTGCCCCTTCCCACCTGCCCCTTCCCTTTGGCCCTTCCCTTCCCACCTGCCCCTTCCCACATGCCCCGTCCCACCTGCCCCTTCCCTTCCCACCTGCCCCTTCCCACGTGCCCCTTCCCACCTGCCCCTTCCCACCTGCCCCTTCCCACCTGCCCTTTCCCACCTGACCCTTCCTATCGGTCCCTTCCCACCTGCCCCTTCCCACCTGACCCTTCCTATCTATCCCTTCCCACCTGCCCCTTCCCACATGCCCCTTCCCACCTGACCCTTCCCTTCCCACCTGCCCCCTCCCATCTGACCCTTCCCTTCCCACCTGCCCCTTCCCTTCCCACCTGCCCCTTCCCTTCCTACCTGCCCCTTCCCCCCTTCCCCTTACCACCAGCCCCTTCCTATCTATCCCTTCCCACCTGCCCCTTCCCACCAGCCCCTTCCTATCTATCCCTTCCCACCCACCCCTTCCCACCTGACCCTTCCCACCTGACCCTTCCCTTCCCACCTTCCCTTTCCCTTCCTCCCTCCCCCTTACCACCAGCCCCTTTCT